CAAAATAGCTTTGTTTTGCGATATAACGGCGTCTAAACGTATTGTCAGACACTGCATGATTAACATAACAAACTGTTTTCAACGACTGATTAAGAAAAAATGGTAGACAACTTAGAGCAAATGCCTCTCAACCGATGTTAACAACCACCAGCCTTGTGCACTAAATGGGTCATAGATAAATAACACGACTTCAGCTTTTAGAAATGCGTCAAAATAATATTTTTATATCTAGCAACAATCAAAGAAGAAAAATGATATATTGTTGAGGTCGCCGCTCAAAGCCATCGAACGCCACACAAAATTGTCATTAGGGAGTTCAAGCAAATCACTACGGCTGGTACTACTACGGCTGCCGTGACTGAAAAGGTCTGGGGAGAGTACGTCTCGGTGATCTGCCAAATTTTTTAAGTTTAGCGAGTAAAGCGAAATACAAAGATGAAAGAAGCATCGGGTAAGGAGTTTAAAATCTCTTTTATTTAATTTCTCACAGCCAAATGGCTTCGCTCAAAGGACGATGGCCGTTACTCACCTTCCTAGGACGAACAGATTATTTCTGAGCGAAAGCGAATGCCAGACACTTTGTTCCATAACAATTTGATGGATGAAATGTATAATTTCTGAGGCAAACATCTCAAAGAATATCGAGTGAGGAACACAAATATATCAATACTCAAAGAAGCAAAATAGCATCGTATAGTTATCCAGATATAAAACATATTCACTAAATCCTAAAAGCAAACTTAACCGAAGAAAAACAACCTCGTGCTCAACACGAATATTTTACTTGACTCACTTCGCCATTCCAACATCTTTGCCAAAACTTATCGTAAATTCAGGATACGGATTTACAAGCTTATGAGAGGCAACCTTAACACAATCTTTGACTTAAATTGACTTTAAAGGATATAGTATCCAATGGAATTCTTAAAATGCCGAGATGTCCGTTGAAAAGGGCTAGAGAAGCGAAATAAACCCGACGTAGTAGCCACTACGGCAAAACATCCAGACTCACGTAGTCAGATTTCACGCTACGGCTGGATGCAACCGACGTACATGCGCAGAGTCTCATTTTGGGGGAAATTTACTTCCGGCAGCCGTATCAGAACCAACCGTAGCGCTTTGCTTAAACTCCCTATTATCGAAATACTACCTGTGCATAATACCCGTGTCAATAGATTGGCCAATAACTTGCGTAACGAACTAATAAATATGTTTTTATTATGGTCGATCAAGTTTGACCTTAAGCCTTATTTCTTTCCACGCATACATCACAAACGTGTAACAACAGAACACTGCAGTAGGAGGCATGTTCGTCACATGCATCGTTATGCTTGCAAGAACGATTTTATATAAATAATTCTAGCCTCACCTTCCTGTCTTTCCTTCAAACGGTTTTCTACGTCCTTGCATTCAGACTCAACAGCCTTAAGTTCTAGTGAGAAATCCAAAACCATAAGTTAATAAAAGAAATAGTGTCACAGCAGTAGTACTAACTTCTCCACCCAGCGAATTACCGCGCATACGGTGGGATAATTAAGTGTAGAGTGCGAAGTGAACTGAGGACCTTTGGAATTAAATGTGGAAAGTTAAAAGGCACGCATTAAATAACTATATGATATTTGTCCTCAGGACACAGCCTAAGTAGGCTTACGGTTGTTGTTAGGAAAGCCAACATTTGACGGTTGCCATTTGAACTTCAATAAATGCACAGTTCTTCACAGGAATAGTTAATTAGGCTACCCATTGGTGGTAGCGAGCTTTTTTTATTATCGAAACAATTGTGCTTTTTTCGTTTAAATTTACGTATAAAGTTTCTTCTGTAATTTCTTTACTTTATACGAATGTAACCGTCGGAGATTCATGAATAGTTGTTTAAATTGTTTAACGTTGTAAAAAAAAAAAGCATTAGGTTATGGGCCCAGGACAATGTTGAGTTGAGTCATGCTTGAGTTGAACAACGCCTGTGCATTTTGGATTTACGCAGGACTTTGGACTTACTACGAGTCCCATTTTTAGTCTGTTGTGTACATGAGACATAGAGGAGAAGAGGTCGATCGAGAAACTTGACGGGAGTAATTGGAACACTTGGAAATTTCAGATATGAAACATTTACTAATAGAGAAAAGATTGTGGGGTCTTGAAGCCCATGAAAGATATTACCGACAAACTTGTGGCAATTGGGGCGCCTCTTTCCGAAGAGGATCAAGTTGTGACTGAAACGAATACTGTTTATTGTTGTGACTGCGTGACCGTCAATACCTCTTTGTTTAATGTGACATACCGTTTAGTTGTCGGCATTACCTTTCATTCGAACACGTGTAAGTTACGAGCGCATGTAGAAGAAGATTGATCGAAAGAATGCCAGCGTCCGCCCCGTTACAGTGACTTTGTTAGAACGTTTACCAAGAAGTTTCGCCGCCCTTGTCACCGCCATCGAAGCTACAGTGCATGGTGTTCACATAGATTATGTTCAGCAAGCAGTCATGCACGAAGAAATGAAGCAATCTGAGCTATCCGGTCAGTTGAAGGGAGCTGATTCAGCACTGACGGGGACCTTTTGGAGAAATACGTCACACGATCGACCATGTTTTGGATGCGGTAATGTGGCTCATATTCGCCGTTATTGTCCAAGCGATTCGCCACGCTATCCATCTATATGTTTTGGATGTAGTGATGTCGGTCATATTCTCCGTCATTGTCCTAGGAAACGTGAATGGTACAATGCAAAGATAGATGAGAATGAAGAGAGCGGACAGGAAAATTATGATAACGATGGTGAAGCCGTTTATGCTGCAGCGTTTATGGCGTCCGTTGGGAGCGTTAAGTTTGCGGATAAAAAATGTATCAAGTGATAAGACGAAAGAAAAGCACGTTTTCATGACTTGCCACAAATTTGATAAGCCTGTAAACGTTGCACTAGGAGACGGTCGTGTTGTGAAAGCATTGGGATCTGGATGCATACAAATGAATATCCTGTTTCCAGGAACACCTAGAAAAGTTGTCTTGTACAATGTGTTATACGCGCTTAAACTCACCTGCAACCTGTTTTCTGTACGAGCGACGGTTGCTTAGGGCAACGCTGTCGAATTTGGCCCTAATCGTTGTTATATCTGGGATGGAAATGGAAAACTTAGCGGAATGAGGTCAAAGGCTGATAAACACCATCAACTAGATTGTCAAGTTATCTCTACTGAGTATGCCTCAATTGCGTCATCTCGTGGTAGCGACCTATGATATCAACGTCTCGCACATGTAAATGAGTCACGCCTCAAGAAATGTATTAAGAATAAATTCATGCGAGGGATTGACATCGCGAAAATGACTGAACTGTAGTTTTGCGCAGGATATTTGGCAGGAAAGATGTGTCGAAAACCGTTTCCCGCAGTGGGAGAGATCCGGTTGGTGCATAGTGACTTCTACGGTCCAATGTAAACACAGTCAATTGGAGGGGCAAAGTATTTCGTCACGTCTATTAATGATTACACTCGGTGCTGCGCTGTACACTTCATGAAACACAAGTCAGAAGTACTCGACAAATTTAAGGAATTTGAAGTCACAACCTACTAACCATGTTGGCAGAGCGATAAGAACTTTGCGAACGGGCAATGGTGACAAGTATTCGTCTATTGAATTAAAAAAACTATTTGAAGGAGAAAGGAATTAGACATGAGTTGACAGTGCCACACTCATTCCAACACAAAAGTGTATCAGAACGAATGAATCGAACTTTGGTTGACTCAGCACGCTCGATGCAGGATTATCGCGAAACCGCCTTCTCACGACGGCGCTAAACCAAAATAAAAATCCTTACGAGCATTGTGATGGGAAGAAACCCGATGTGAGCCACTTACGAGTGCTTGGATGTATTGCCTACGCAACGTGCCAGACGGTGAACGGCGAAAGCTAGACAAGAAGTCAAAAAACATGCGTTTCCTGGGCTAAAGCTCGACGTCGAAGGGATATCGTCTTTTTGATAAAACGAACCGAAAGCTGTATATCCGGAGAGATGCTGATTTTAATGAAAACGATTTCGGCCAGAAGCAAACCATGACCACAGAGCAGACCCAGAGGGCGAGGACGGGAAGCAGAATGCTGTCATCACCACAAAAGGAGAAGAAGAAGTAGTAGAAATGAAGAAATCAGGGAAGGAAGAAGAAGACACACCACAAGAGCCCCCGAAAATCTGGATGAACACGAAAAGCACCTGTCAGATATGGTTACGACGAATATCCCGACACCGCGACCCACCGCGTGCATCATGTTGCCTATCATCTATGTGAGAAAGATAAACCCTCAACCACCCAAGAAGCAAAGTCAAGTGATCATGCTGCAGAGTGGAACGTCGCCACAGATTCAGATTGTGATTCTCTGATCCAAACCAAGACGTAGAAGTTGGTTGAATTACCACCGGTCGGAAAGCTATAGTATGCAAATGAGTGTTTAAACTGAAACATACTAAGGACGGTACTGTGGAACGTTTTAAAGCACGCCTACTGGCCAAGCGTTACGCCCGGAAATATGGTATTGACTATGATAAAAATTTTTTGCCTGTAGTTCGTGTCTCTGCAATACGTCGTTTCCTAGCGTTTGCAGTCGAGAATGATTTGCTGATTCATCAGATAGATGTGGAGACAGCTTTAAAGAAATTTACAAGCAGCAACCGGAAAGATATGTGTATCCTGGGGAAGAACATTTTGTGCGCAAGCTAGAGAAGTCACTCTATAGAGTAAAGCAGTTGTCCAGATGTTTGAATAAAGCTTTTCGGGAATGTGTTCAGAAGATTAGCTTCACTCAAGCCTCGGCAGATCCCTGTGTATTCATCGTTCAAGATAAGGAAAACAAGCAAGTATACCTTCACCAAGGGCAGTACATCGAAAAGATGCTGGAGAAGTTGGGGCAAATAGAAGCAAAACTGGTGTCAACACCTGCTGATTTGAACGTTAAGTTGCAAAAGGAAGATGGTGTTAGCAGACCTGTAGATGCAATCTCGTACCATTCCATCGCTGGGAGCCTACTTCATGCTGCAATCGCAACTCGTCCGGACATCCCCCAAGCAGTGGGAGTCGTATCGAAGTTCCGTGCAAATCCTACACAAAATCATTTAACGGCAGCAAAACAGATTCTCAGATATCTGAAAGGAACTGTATCTCTTGGTTTGAGTTTCAAGAAGTGTGCTGATGGAAACCTGACGGGTTACTCAGATGTAGATTGGGCGAGTGATGTGAATGAACGTCGCTCCACTTCAGGAAACCCGTTTTCATTGGCTAGAGGAGTAGTGAGCTGGCTGAGCAAGAAACAGGCTACCATTTCGCTGTCAACAGCAGAGGCGGAGTATGTAGCCCTAGGTACGGCCACCCAGGACGTTATCTGGCGCAGTTACTCGCAGATGTAGGAAAACATCTCGAGGAACCCATCGTAATTCATGAGGACAACTAGGAGCAAGCACATCACTTGAAATACGCTATTACTTCGTTCGCGAAAGAATGCAGAACGGAGCGATCATTTTGAAAGATGTTGCCACTGATGAGATGATTGCAGATATTCTCACGAAGCCTTTGCCCAAATATCACTTCGAGAAGCTTGTCACCGAACTAGGAATGAAAATTGTCAAATGAGCAACGTCAAAAGTGGAAGTGTTGTTTTTATGAAATTTACGTATAAAGATTATTCTGTTATTCCTTTACTTTCTTCGAATGTAACTGTCGGAGATTGATTAAAAGTTGTTTAATGTTGTAAAAAAAAAACATTACTTACTTCGTTCTCAATTTAGGAACTTCAGTATTCTTTATTTGTTTTGAAGATAAGACTGTTTTCGCAATTGAATTCCAGCTTCGGTTGCGATGAATTTTTTAGATTCCTTTAGTATACTTTCCAGATGTGAATAGACAAATTTGACATTCTGATTGCACGAAAAGCTAGGCTTATGACGCTATATACAACATTTTTAGGCCTGGTTACTAAGCTCGCCACCTTTGCCATCTTGGCAAGAAACCATAGAATTTCAAAGGATGGAAAATTTTCAGAATGACTGCTGTTACCCTTGAACCAAAAATCTTTTCAAGGACTCGTATTCAAGGCATTTAAGAAACGTTAACAAAGTGGTTAAGTTGATCGCCAGAACGTTAGATCGATTGACCGAATTTTTTTTTTTTCAAACTAAAGCTACTCATTTTTAAGCGATGACGTATTGTGTGACGTCATCGCTTTATGCTGGCGTGCATGCATTCCTTTAGATAGTGATTTCGCATAGTTTGTCGCGTTCATGTCCGTGCGCTTATGTCGCGCACTTTTTAACCCCCTGTGGAAGCGAAATGCACTACGGCAGTTCCTTTGCTGCTTTCCTTTTGCTGTTTGTAGGTTCAGCGGAGTGCTTTTAATTGTAGCTATTAAAAAAAGATTTAGGGGTGAATTTTGGTTTATACAGTATCGGAT